GGAGGGAGCGGGGGAGGGGCATCCAGGAATAGCCGCCCAGAACTGGTGTCCCCCGAGTGCGGACATTTCCTCTTACCGTGTCCACTCCTCCCGCCATCAGTTCGGTGACATTGGCTTTGATGGAGTCCAGTGGAAGCTCGGCCTGTAGTAGGAGCTCCGCCATTATTCCCGAGTACCCTCTCTCCTGACCCAGACAGAACTCCTGGTAGATGTTCTGGATACACCGATCCGCTGCAGGAGAAGGGGGAGGGCTTTATGTACAGAGCAATATTCTGCATTCTCCTCCTCAGCCACCAGGTGGATCCTCCCCCTCCCCCCGCCGGATCCCCTCAGTAGAAGAAGCCTGTCTATAGAGCTCAGCAGCTAAAGCTGAACTGTATGTGTACAACTAAGTCAGAACAGTGACTCCTCCCCTACAGAGCAGTGACTCCTCCCCTACAGAACAGTGACTCCTCCCTTACAGAACAGTGACTCCTCCCCTACAGAGCAGTGACTCCTCCTCATCAAGATGATGGCTCCCCCCTCCAAAGCTATGACTCCTGGCCTCAGGAGCAGTGACTCCTCCTCTGTAAGGCAATGACTCCACCCCTCCAAAGTAGTCACTCCTCCCCCTCATGATCAGTGACTCCTCCCCCTCTCTGCCTGTACAGACACCTCCATCCTGTTTCAATCAGAGACAGAGGTCCTAAAAGTGGGGAGAGTCCTAGGGATAGAGGTGGGACCTCGTCTGTCCATGGAGGAGAGTCATAGGGATAGAGGTGGGACCTCGTCTGTCCATGGAGGAGAGTCCTAGGGATAGAGCTGGGACCTCGTCTGTCCATGGAGGAGAGTCATAGGGATAGAGGTGGGACCTCGTCTGTCCATGGAGGTTCTGTCCATGGAGGAGAGTCATAGGGATAGAGGTGGGACCTCGTCTGTCCATGGAGGAGAGTCATAGGGATAGAGCTGGGACCTCGTCTGTCCATGGAGGAGAGTCCTAGGGATAGAGCTGGGACCTCGTCTGTCCATGAGGAGAGTCATAGGGATAGAACTGGGACCTCGTCTGTCCACGGAGGAGAGTCATAGGGATAGTGCTGGGACCTCGTCTGTCCATGGAGGAGAGTCATAGGGATA